TTTGTTTACTAAACAGGGAATGTAATTGAAATGTCCCTTTTGAGTTAATGAAAATATAAAACAGCTTTCCAGAGTAGACCAAGGCCTCTAATTTAATTATCTGTGAGCCTCATAGATTAAAAGTATTCTTTCATCCATTCCTGGCAGCCTGAAGTACATGAATAACTGAAATTCAAAGAAAAAAACCTTATGAAAAGGAGACCTGGCAGATGAAAGAGCAAATGGCCAAACCATTTGTAAAAGGATTTATCTCTGCTGAGATGCCCGCTGTCTTTACAGCAACTAATTATATGTGAAAACTATTAAAGATTTGGAAACTGTGATACCCATTAAAGGGGTAAGGGGTCCCCGTCGCCTGCAGGAAAAATAAGCTGGCTTCTCTTTGAAATATTGTTTGCTCTGTATCAGAGGCGTTGCTCTTTACGGGCACATGGCAAGCAGTGGCCTTGAGCACCCGAGCAGCTGTCAGAAAACCAGCAGGAGCAGTCGTAGGGGTAGCGTTGAGCTTGCTACGGCGTTATTTGCAGAGTCAGTCCTTCAGACCACAGACCCATCCCTAAAGCAAAGCCCGCGGCAATGCTGCCCCACCACTGCAAAGGCATCCAGGAGCAGCCAGAGCTCAGGCGCATCCTCGGAGTGGTGGGGTCTGGTGTCTCCTAACGCTGCGTCAGCCGTCTGCTTTCCGTATCGAAGCACTTTTGCTCTTGTGTCAACCAAAGGATGATGGACAAGTCTCCACGTAGCTGCTGAAATACAGCAGCCGATATCAGCACATTTTGTCCACTTTCACATTTACATCTATACTCTGTACTGTGCGCGTTACAGCAGCACTTGTCACCCCGGCAGAGACCACGGGGTCCATACAGAAACGCAGAGGAAGCCTGTGGCCGAGCGAGACGTGAGCACAGGTCTCCTCTGGTGTGATCCCAGGCCCAGCCATCACATTATGTACACAACAAGCTTGGGTTTCATCCCTGCTGTACATGAAATATTGTCGGACTTTGGAAAGACAAAACAGAGAGATGCATATGGGCAAAAGTGGGGTTTGCACTTCATGAGGTGAGTGTATGAGGAGCAAACACGTTTGCAAGTAGCAGAAAGGATGCTTCACTGCACTTGGGGGTTTTTTTGGTTAGAAGATGTTCTCCCTTTTCGGGTTTGTACTTGAAGACTTTGATCTAGAGGCACAGTGTGTCAAAGAAAAAAGAAAAAAAGAAAAGAAAAGAAAAAAGAAAAGAAAAAAGGAAAGAAAAGGAAAGAAAAGAAAAGAAAAAAGAAAAGAGAAGAAAAGAGAAGAAAAGAAAAGAAAAGAAAAAAGAAGAAAAGAAAAGAAAAGAAAAGAAAAGAAAAGAAGAGAAAAGAAAAACAAGTTTGCTTCTGGTATAAACATTTACAGCTTCATTGACTTGAAGTGGAATTTCACCTGGGAATATAAGCAGTGACCTCAGCTGAGAGGAGCAGCTCATGGAGGGGGGCACTGGTACCTGTTGCTCAGAGTTACCTGAACAGTGCGAGAAGCCCAGCAAAAAATTTGCTGATTCGTTTTATTGCGGTGGGAGGTTTGAGGAGTACTGATTTGTCTTTTCTCTAGTTCATCTAGATTTGAGCTAACACTTTTGACTTTGAAAAAGGGTTGAGTTTGAAAAGTTTTTTTAGAGTGGATGGTGATTTTACTTGTCTGCAACACAGATCAATGCACTTTGAATTGTACGTGCGCAGGTGGGAACTGGAGTGAAGAAAGTGTACTGCAAATGCCAGAATTCTGCAAAATTCTGGCTAAGAAGCTGGCCCTAACCATCCTCTAAAGTGGTGCCTCTAAAATGTAGCTCAAATGATACTTTAATTTACTCTTACAGAAATATTTCATGTTATCTTTATAATATGTCAGATTTTAAAACCTTTAAAACTTGAACAAATCCTTCACTTAGCTTCCTATAAGCAGCATTTTTTTTTGCTTTTGGTTTGTAATTTGCTATTATTCTCATGCTTGGTATGACACTTGCTCGATCTGGATTCATTTCCCATGCTGATTTGTTCTGAATGTGCCCCGTAGGCTAACGGTGTATTTTCAGCCTCTCTTCTTCCTTTGTAAAATTTGCTATTACTGTTTGCAGGACAGCGTGTTCTCTTTGACACCTTCCAGAAGTGCCAGCTGCCTGTCGAACAGCACGGCATCAGCTGTTAAAGCCTAATCCAAACCTCAACGAAATCAGGCAACAGTAATGCAATTCAAGGTTTTTAAGGAAAGGCAATATCTTTTATTAGATCAGCTGTTACAGTTGGAAAAAAAACAGACAAGCTTTCAGGCACACAAATCCTTCTTCAGGTCTGAAATAGCAGCAGGATTGCTTACACCAGCATTCCTTAGCAGTGACACAGCTTTGGTCCCAGCAAGGTTTGAAAAATGTGATTAAAAGTGTGTGTATTGCACGGCCCTTCTTATTGGGGCAGGCTTCCCAGCAGGACAGAGGCAAACGTCGTTCTCCTCTCTCCCCTTCCCAGTATACACCCTACAAACAGGGGATACATCCTGTAAGGAGAGGTAGTTTAAGGTCACTTATACTTGAGAAAAAGTTTTCAGTACCTTATGATCGAGCCACATCTTCCCCATAGCCACCCTGCTATTGGGAAAGACTGAGACAAAGCCGTGGGCTCCGCTGTGCAGGTGGTAACCGCAGGATCCACGCTGGAAATTCTGGCTCCTGATGTTTACAGCTGTCCAGCAAATAGTTGTGGGACCAGTTGGCAAAATGAATTTTATTCCTTTGTTGTGGTTGCTTTACAGGGAACAGTGTTTCTCAAAGTTTCTGGAGTCACAGTTGACTGACCAGCCACCTAATAACAAAGTGTGTGATTGAAAATGCTGCACAGGCAGGATGGTTCTGCCGAAAAGCTGTGAGCAGCTTCCTGTAGCCTTTGGATTGTCACAGAATAGAAAAATAAGAAGTAACAGCCCAGTACGCTGCCTGCGTGCTCCTCCAGATCTGAACATCACACTTATGATAGACTTCATATTTATCTTCCTTCTTCTTTTCTGGAAATGTTCAAAAGTATGTACTAAAATCTTTGAATGAAGGAACACAGGCAGGTGCTCAGAAATTAAATGTTAACATTAACCGTAACATTTATTAAATGTTATCATTAACTGTAACATTTATTTCTATATTCCCACACTAGGAACTGGGGTGTTAGCTGCAGCTAGTAACTGTGGTATTAAGAAGCTGAGGATGCTTTTTGCTCATGTGAATATTTCCATGGTACATGGGCTGTGAGAACTTCAGATTTTGTTTCTTGCTGAAGTGTATTAATAGGTGTCTTAATTATGCAGCTTCTGTATTCAGCCCTGTTTGAAAATGAAAGGTTGCATTTCAAGAAACTGTCACCGCAAAAAAGTTGTAAATAAGTATTGACACTTCTGAAGGAATTAAAAGGATGAACCGTTTATGCCTTTAAGTTGATTAACACACAGACATGAACAACCAATGAGCAAGTAATGCTGTAAACAGGAATGTAATTATTGGAAAAGCTTAAATCAGAAGGAAAAATACCTCTTAAAAATTACGCAAGCCAAAAACCTTAGTATAAGTTCTGCTTTGGGCATTGGTGTTCTGGTGCAAAACTATCTTAAAACTGTCTTGAAAGTCCCTAAAAGTGCAGAAATTTGTGGGACCCTGTCTTCATATAAAATACAAGTGTTTCAAATGTGGTTCTCAATCTGAATCCACCACTTAAGGCACGTTGTACTTACGGATCTGAATCACCATTCCAGGCTGTGACACTCCCAGCGTGGCCAACCTTTGATCGATCCCTTTTATAGTTTTCTCCACCCCGGGATGTGCCCAGTGACACACGCCGATGGCAAGTAGGCTGGCATCGTAAAAACCATAGAACAACAGAGCAACTGCTTCTCTTTCGCAGAGAAAGATTTAATGGAGGAGTCATGTGGACAACCAGATCCTCTGCTGAATGTCAGAATTTGTTTCATTCCCTTTAGTACCCAGCCAAGATGTTTAGGTTTGAAAGCATGGCTGTGAATGTTACTGCAGAACAGGGTTTCTTTTTCTTTATGTGCACCAAAAGGAAAATGATGAATTTGTCTGTGAAAGACAAGAGCTTCATTCTTACTTGAAATTAAGACCTTTTCATATTCCTGTCTATTTTAAGACACTTCTCTGCTGCCAGAGTAGAAGTAAAAACCAGGATCCATACTTGGTCCCCATGACGGTAATTGTATAGTCATGTAGACCACCACATGTCTAACCTGCAAAATAGAATTCCACATCTGGATTCTGCAGCCAGTAAAGGGCTCTGATGCCCCAGTATTCAGCCATCTTCTACAGATGGTTTGAAATCTGGATGCAGATCCATCACCGAGTCAAAGTCAATGCTTCAGATCAACCCCGTGTTTAGGTTGGAGCTCTTTACAAATTGGCACTTGTAAAACTGGAAGGACGGTAGGAAGGAAGGAAAAGCAAAGAAGATGTGAACTACTGAGGAAAAAAGCATCTGCTCCCAAATCATGATTTTTACTACCTGACACTCTTTAATAGTCATGATGTCGCAGCTTTTTTCAGTCACGAAAATAGAAACAGCAGCAGCAGTGTCCAGCACTCAGGTTAACGTGCCAGCTACACATGAATGGTGCACATTATAAATACACATTTATGGTCCTTCCATGCATACCACAGCTAAACAGCAGCCAGCGCTGTCTTGGTGTTCTTCCACTGCTGCATTTATGGAGTAGCCTGTAGGAAGGGAAGGGAAGGCTGCAAGGAGCGCTGGAAATGGCAATGCTAATGAGAGCAGCAGATGTCATTGCACTTTACTGCATTTCTGCTGCAGCTGGTTATAAATTCAGGTGGGAGATGTCAAAAAGCCAAAGAAGTAAAACTCTCTTTTGTCTATTGTATCGCCCAGGACTCGACATGTTCATATCATCAGGCTTTGCATGATGGTAGCTTTGTCTCTTGTTGTGTCACTCAGCCTTTGCTCTTTTTCAGGTGCCAGGAGACAACGAGAAGCACTGGAAGCCAGTGTTAGTGGTCTTGACGGAGAAAGACCTCTTAATATATGAGAGCATGCCGCGGATGAAGGAAGCTTGGTTCAGCCCTCTGCATACCTACCCCCTGCTAGCCACCAGGTACCTGTCCTTTTTTATTACAACCGCTTCAAGAGCGGTGGGAACCACTGAGTCAGCCAGGAACAGGTATAGCTGGTTCACAGCTATATATCACACGTGAAATGTTGTGGTTTGTGAAGCAGATTCTTCTTCAATGGGCCGATGTGCTCAGCTCAACTCCTCAGTTCTCCTCTGTTTAAAGTTCTGGCCGAGTCTGATGGCCGGACGCACACCAGAAGGATTATGGACGTGGCCATTTGGCCTGGATCCAGAGGCAGGAGTGCTGAAAAGACCGAGGGCTCAATCTCCTGAGATCTCTATCTCAGTGTGCAGACTTGAGGGCTTGCAGAAGCACTCAGATTTCCAGCCTAGGCTGAAAAGCAAGAAATTCTTGCCAGAGTTGGCTGTGCTGGTGTGGCAGTTCTGTACCACTGGTTTGGGGCTTCTGGGGGCCTGCACACGTGATGGAGACACTTAATTTCAGCACAGTTTGTATTCCTGGTCCAGGAAATGAATTCCTGGTTTATTTAGCTTAAAAAGTTGAGCTTAGAAGACACATTCTTGAATCTAGGTTGGAAATAACCATCTGCATTATTTCGAAGATATCCATCAACACTAATTCAGAGAGAGCTTTCCCATGGTTGTCTTTATGCAGTGGAAACTGTCTGTGCTTCTTGATGTGAATCTTAATCACATTTCTTTGCCAGTATGGTCAAAGGGCTTGAGAAAGAGCTGCTGTTCCATTGTTTTGGCCTTGCTACAGGCCTCTATTATACCATTTGCAATGAGTTCTCATTCAAAAGGGCTGGTAGCACATGGCCAAAAGCAGTGGGTCTCTTACTGCACTCTCATTAGTTAATTTTTGTTCTTGGTCTCTTCGTTCTCTCCCCAAATGAACTGAGGCTTTGCTGCTACATTATATTAAAAAACAAAAAAAAATTGAACTTGGTGAATTACACTGATGGTTGTTTTGTCCCAGTCTATCTACCCGTGATGGAGCTTTCAGACTTCCTGGGAAGCTGGCTTCTGACTCTCCCTTTGTTATCGTAACAAGAGGCGAGAGCGCCATGCTTTGCAGCTTGCAGCCTGCTGCATGTCGTGGCGGTGAAGGTTGACGATTCCAGGTGGCAATTCCCAATGAAAACCGGGTAGAATGTTGGAACTGGAGGCTGCGTCCAGGTGTGTCGCTAAGGCCTTAGAGTTTGTGAAGCAAGAGCACCGCAGCAGAAGGTGATGCGTCTCCTCCCTGGTGCTTCAGGGTGTCATTTGTACATGGACCCAAGTCCTCCTCCTTACAACGACTGGTGATCCTGCAGCACACCCTGCCCCTTCCTGCCCACACATTGTCACATGCAAAGACAGCCCTTCGGTGGGCATCACCAGTCCCCGTCATCAATGACTGCCGATTCACCGGATCAAACAATGTAAGTCCTCATCTTGGAGGACCTGTTACTTAATTACTTCTTCTCAGGAGTTCAGATTTGATAGCAGACTGGCTTGCCTTGGGTGGGAATAGTCATCTCCTTGTCAGATGGGACTCCCATGTGAGTGGAGAAGTATCAGCCTTCAAGCTGGAGGGGAATGAGAAGTTGCTTGACACAGGCATTAGGTTCCTGAAGGGTCTTCACGGACTGGGAAAATAGTCTGTGAGAAAGACGGGATGCGGTTCAGAAAGGACAAGTGACTAATCAGCTGCACTGGTTTGGGGCCGAGAATGACTGGCAAAATAGTTACTCTGCCAGGAAGCACCTGGGCGAAATTGCTTAAATCTATGGTGTAACATTGTTGAGAAAACAATCATCTTGGGTTATAGCAGAAGTGTTGCGTGTTGGGCACATGTAATAATCTAACCTAACTACAGAGCATGAGTGAAGCCTCAGGTGATACCCACCTTCATGTGAGGTGCTGCACTTCCAAAAAGATGCCAGTCAACTGTGGAAGGTCTAGAAGAGAGCAGTGCTAATGTAGGAGTTAGAAAACACTATCAGTAGGGGAATACTTAAGAAACCTTGGCTTTTTTAATCTATAGAAATCCATGGAAAACATGTCAATAGTTTTCAAGTAGCAGCCCTGACGAGAAGGACTTGGGGGTATTGATTGATGAGAAGCTCAACATGAGCCAGCAGTGTGCGCTTGCAGCCCAGAAAGCCAACCATGTCCTGGGCTGCATCAAAAGAGGCGTCACCAGCAGGTCAAGGGAGGTGATCCTGCCCTACTCCACTCTCATGAGACCCCACCTGGAGTACTGTGTCCAGCTCTGGGGGCCCCAGTACAGGAGAGACATCGAACTGTTGCAGAGAGTCCAGAGGAGGGCCACGAAGAAGATCAGAGGGCTGGAGCACCTCTCTTATGAAGACAGGCTGAGAGAGTTGGGGTTGTTCAGCCTGGAGAAGAGAAGGCTCTGGGGAGACCTTATAGCAGCCTTCCAGTACCTGAAGGGACCTACAGAAAAGCTGGTGAGGGACTGTTTATCAGGGATTGTAGTGACAGGACAAGGGGGAATGGGTTTAAACTAAAAGAAGGTAGATTTAGATTAGATACAAGGAAGAAACTCTTCACTGTGAGGGTGGCGAGGTACTGGAACAGGTTGCCCAGAGGGATTGTGGATGCCCCCTCCCTGGAAGTGTTCAAGGCTGGGTCTTTGGTCACCGTGGTCTAGTGGGGGGTGCCCCTGCCCATGGCGGGGGGGGGTGGTGAAACTAGATGATCTTTAAGGTCCCTTCCAACCCAAACCATTCTGTGATTCTATGATTCTATAATAAGTATGAAGATGAGAAACCAGGAGGAGGACAGGGGAGCATGTTCTCCAGGTCCCTGTTGGACACCACAGGACATAGCTGGCTGCGTTTGTGGCAGGGGAGGTTCGGGGTAGGTCCTGGGAAAAACTTGGTGTGCAGGCGAGGTACTGGGTTAGGTTTTTTAGGAAAGGTGTACAATCCTCATCACTGGGGCTCTGAAGGACGGGTAACACTGTAACCCTCAGGAGTGTGTCGGCAGAGTTGGCCCTGCTCTGGGAAGGGGGACGTGCCGGGTGACCTCCTGAGAACCATTCCAGCCCCATCTCTGTGATTTCTTACTCGTATCGCTGTGAATTTAACACTCAGGTAAAAAGACAGCAGATATACAGGACTTTACATTCAGAATGGAGTCACAATCTGATAAATACATTTAAATACACAAATCCCCAAGGTGAGCAGATTACATAAATTGACAGATTCCCTAAATCATTACACCTACTGTTTTGGATGATTTTGATTAAAACTCTGCAGGATTCTGCTTTTATGATCTGTCACACTGAGTACAGTTATACCAAAAAAATACAGAGGGTTTGCTCTTGGTCTTGACTGCTGTGTTCATGCTCGGTCAGTGATTACCCTCCTCGTGATGGGTTTTTTTTAATCCCTTCTGCGCATCGATCAGTGCAATTTAGAACTTTTCACCTGGAAAGTTTGCAGACCACATGTTGTAATCTTGGCTGCTCCCATCTTTCAGATTTTTATGAGTCCTTGGGAAAACATTTTTGCTTAGCTAATGCTTATTTGAAAAGCTGCTGAAACTGGAAAACTTCAGTGCCAGATACTGTAGAGATTCATGCTTAATCTACCCAATACATAATGAGCAGAGAAAATTGGAAGGTGGTAGAAGGATTACAGTCTTCTTACAGTATTTTAACAGCAGAATTTCAACGTACCCTTTCTGTTTGTTGATAAGTTTGCCTTCAACCTATGGATGCTATTAAGACCTAAAAATATTTTCCAGTCGGTCTTTCCCAGCTTTGTGCAGAATATAAGTAATAGCTGAAAATAAAACTGAGATCAGGAGATTTAAGTTGTTCCTTTAAATCCCTGCACTGGGAGGCACAGCAGCTGGCTCGTAGCCCTGACTCCAAAGACCTTTTTGTCATAATCTCTGTTTTGGTGTTTCCTTATGCCTGAATAACAGCGCCTCCCTCTAGCATGGGAATGGGGCTTAAGTAATTACATCTTAAATGTTTGCAATCAAAACACATTATCTATCATAGGCAAATATGAAATGAAAAAAATAAATATAATAAAGCAGCCTATGTCGGCCTCTGATTAAAGATCAGGTAGGTAGCTTTTGTGTGAAGCTGAGCTCTGTAAGCAGAAAGTATTAAAGCAGTTTGGCAGTTAATGCCGTGGAAAGTTGGTGAAGGAGTTTGGGCACCGATTATTTGTCTGTACAAGCGGAGAGCGAGGCAGGCGGGGAGCACAGGGGTCCCCAAGCACCCCAGGGAAGGTGTATGAGGTGGTGTGCAAGCTGTGCAAGTTCTCCGTTCGTCATCCCAGGGCAGCGAGGGTGGTTGTGGCTCCCTGTGGGGCACGGCTTGGATGAATTGAGAGCATGTGCGTAGGTTTCCAAAGAGTGCAGCCATTCCAGAGCAGGTTTCAAATGTTAAGTCAGGGTAAGGAGTGGTTTCAACATAAGAAAGGTCAGATGAGAGTGGCTTTCTACTGGGCAGAGCTGCATGACTGTTGATGTATTTGTATCACGGCCTCTTGTGAGATAAAGCTCAAATGAGCAGCTGAGCACTTGCTTTGAATGTCAGTGCTGGTTTCGCTGTCCTTTTTGAAGAAGCCATTAGATTTTGCTGTTGCAGTAAGTGGTTGAAACTCTGTTCATAGCATTAGGATGAGAAGCAGGTCCCAGTGCATCTCGTCTGGCACCAGCACTTCACATTGGACCGTACCCATCTTGCTATCACATCTTTGCAAAGAATAATGCCAAAGAGGTACCCAAAACATAGAGAGAGACAAGGGAGAAATTACAGAAGATTAGAAGTGTCTCCCTGGCTTTCTGAAGCATGCCAAGAGTTGCATTTTGCAGCCGCTGCTTGCCGTCTGCACACTGTGCAAACGGACTCGATCGTGGCCAACCTTCTCCTGCCCTCTTGTGGCTTTGGCTGCTCCAGGGAAGCGTCGGGCTCCTGCGCCCTCACAGGTGTCTCAGAAACCTCCACGGAGCTGAGCAACCTTCAGGGCCTGTGGGTGAATATTCCAGAGCTGGCCCTGGGGTGCCATTTCAGCTCTGGGGTGCAGGGTGCACCATGGACACAACCTCCTCTGCAGTCAGAGTGGTGGGAGGTGGAGGCGAGAGGAAGCCTTCTGTGAAGTTTCTAAGGCTATTCTTTTGCCTTTTAAGGTATATTTGTGGTCTTTAGGATAAAACATCTTTTATGTAAATGAAATAGTTTGTATGAATGCAACTTTATTAAAGCTTGGGAATCCTTTGACTCGTACCCAAATGCATCAGTGCCAACAGCTGGTACATAAATATTATCAAATGTTCTCCTGCATATTTGTGTAGTTCATGTTTAACTGCATGATTTTTCAAAGCATGGTCTGGAGTTGTATTTTTAAATAGGATTTGTAAATACCAAGACTGAATTTTGAGAAGGCAGGTAAGAAACAAGGTTCATGTTGGATGTGTACAAATACTTTAATTTGTAAAGTACATCTTCATTCTATCCATATGCTGAAAAATCTAAAATGCCAGTGCTATGGATAAAGCATGAAGAAGTAGAGGGGGGTGGATTTGAAAGGAAATAAAACAATTGGAACCATCTGTCTGTCCCATATTCGGTATCACGAGTATTACAAAATAATTTTTAGCACAGCTGATGTGCACTGTATAAAGGAGAAGGGATGACCCAAGGAGAGGACGGGACAGTTTTCAGGCAGTGATTTTCCAGGCTGCTTTCCCACAGCCCTGCCGGCAGCAGAAGGCAGCATGAGAGCAGTGGCCCTGCCTGCGCCGAGGCAACCAGCCGGGGAGAGGCAGCAGCAGAACTCACCGGAGATTTCAGTTCCTGGTCTTTGATATCAAGATGCAGCTTCCCCTCACAGTTTGCACCTCTTCACACCAAATGAAAGTGAATAAAAGTTTTTGGGCTGTTTGTTTGCCGCTGACTCCCCAACTCCAAAATCTGCCCAGGGTGCAGTTAGGAGGCCTCGAGTATCAAAGCTGAGCAGGGCATTAACACAGCCCTTCTGGGGGCAGAAAAGCATTTGGGGAGGGTGGTGGTGCCTCTGTGGAAGAGGCTTTTCTGTCCAGATACAGGGCAGGGCAGCTCTGCCCGGAATACTCTGCCCTTTGCCTCCCGGGAACGTCAAATCAAGGCGGATGCTCAAAATCCAAAGTTACCATGAACCTGAGCATGAACAAATCTTGCAAACCTTCTAGTGAGGTATGAAAGAGGAGGGCGTCTCTTTGGCACAATGCACATCCCAAACGTCAGCACGGACTGCCAGGGAATTGGGGGAAATTTCAGATGTCCTATGGTTGGTGTTTCAATAATGGAAAAGCTAAAGTTGTGCTTTTTCTTTCCTTTCTGCGTTTTTTTCCCCTATTAAAACATCTCTCTTTGATGGCATACTTCTACAGTGTCAGTTAACAGGCAACTATTCTTCCAGATGCAAAACAATAATTTGAGGGTGAATTAGCATTCAGTAGATAATTAGTATAGTCTAATGTTTTATGCTTCAACACAAGTATTCTACTACCCTGTACATACTTACTCTATAGTCTCATAGGAAGCATATTGTTTGCCTATAGAAAGGGAAACAGGAGACACCAGACAGAAACAGGTTTTTCAGAAGAATTTCCTTAGTTTTATTTTGTGACTCCCTCGGAGGGTTGATGGCTGGGTCTCAAATATCAATCAATTATTATTTTCATCTGAATCACTGTCATGTCCCTGAGGGAATTCTGTATTGACTATCCACACTTCTGCAGGAAAAAAAACCAAAACAAAAACAACAAAACCAATCCACAAAAGGAGTCTTCAAGAAGAATTAAATATTATGAGGTGTTGATTTTCTCACTCAAAAATACTCCCTGCAATTAGTGTTTGCCCAGATGAACAAACCTTTCCTGGTCATGGGAGATCAGCTGTTGATGCCAGGCAAAAGAAATGTTAATTGCAGCAAAATGTGAGAGAAATTCAGATTACAAATAGCTGCAGCATTTTGTGCTTTGCAGGTTCCTTATGGGAAAAGTACTTTGGCATCTGCTTATTATACAGAACTTCTTTCTTTATCTGACAGCATTTATCGTTGAGTTTGCACATATTTAAGCTTTATGGCAACTGCAGCCTGACAGTGAAAGTCAGATTCAGCTGCCTCATCTGAGTGAGCACTCGCATCTGTGCACCAAACCCCATCACCACAGACCATTTGGCGATTTCTCTCAGTTCCTCATCCAGAGGGGTGTTTTCTACAATGCGTTAGGAATTTAGGGCCCCCTGGGACATCCCCATCATCACCTGCATGTCCGGCGGCTGCAGTACTCACCGCTTTGGACCTCACTCTTCTGCCTGAGTCACTTTAGGCTCAAATACAGAGGAGATGTGAGTTCCCATGCTCCCAACCACGTGCATTTAGGAACGTACAGAGCAGAGCTGTGCTCAGGCGAGGATTTTGGCACGGTGTGCTTTGTCAGCTTTATAATTCCCTGATGTGTTTGCAAATCCAATTGCAGGTTGGTCCATTCTGGCCCAGGAAAAGGCTCACCGCAGTCCGGGGTGGATTTGTCTTTTGCAACCCGTACTGGTACAAGGCAAGGGATCGAAACCCATCTGTTCAGGACAGAGACTAGCCGAGACCTCTCACTGTGGACGAGGAGTGTAGTGCAGGGCTGCCACAATTCTGCGGAGCTCATCACGGAAATCACCACATGTGAGTAACATCTGTGGCGCCACATCTCCACATCTCCTTGTGACACTCATGGGTAGTTCAAGCTCCTTCTGCTAGAGGTGATTCGTTTAAAAAAATGTACGTATTTAGGGTTCTATGTATATACAATACTGCCCCTTTGCTTTCCCAGCCAGCTCTAGCTGGTGTGGTACCTGTGGCCAGTACCATAAAACCAGGACACAGTCACTGTCCTTCTGACTTTTGGTCTTCTTTTTGGCACATTGTTTCAGACACAAGTCTGTAATCAGCCATATAGGGCTGTGTGTCATGGAGGAGTGATCATCAGAGGTTTTTCCAGAAACTCAGAGAAACAAGCATTTTTCTGAGACTTGGGAGACCCCCAAGAGCCCTGCAGGAGTTTCTCTTGCAGAGAGAAGAGGCAGAGGAGGACCAACACATTCACAAGTGTGAATTGGTGATTTATTCACGCAGCTCTGCACATTTCAGAAGAGTGAAAAAAAAAAAAAAAAATCCAAACTAGTCCAATAGCCACATTTTGACAGCTAGTCATTTCCCTCCCTGAACATCAGGGTGTCACTTCTCAGCGCTCCTCTACATGTGCAATCATCTGAAATAAAAGTAATTGGCTGGAGATGGTCTGGAACGATGCCCTGTTTGGCCAGGTAGCTGCTAGCCTGGGATGGCTCTGAGGCTGCACTTTTGAGTGCTCCCAGGATTTGGGAGTCCTTCCCCCACCAGCTCTCCACTTGACAGGGCTGTTCAAGTTGAACATTATCTCCGCTCCTTGCCTAAAAACATGAGAGCAAGAGCCAAAGCACAAATCCACTCCACAATGAAGGGCAGCTCTGATTTTGTGAAGCCCCGCACTGCCACCCACGAGGACCCCTGCCCGTCAGCTGCCAGCCCCGTGCCTCCCGGGGAGCTCGGCTGCTTTGCGAGGGCCTCCGATGTGGAACCAACCAGGGCGTTCCGTGGGAACCTCCTGGGGCGCACGGCCATCTCAGCCCCGTGATGCTGATGACTTTCCTCCCAAAACCAGGAGGAGGGCATCAGCCCGTACTTCTGTCGCAGTGCTTTTTATCCCAGTGCCAAGGTCCCTTCTTGGCAGAGTTGTTCACAGGAAAGTGGGGGAAAAGAGAATTTGGGATGTGAACAGCTAAACTCTTAATGTTTTAATTTGGATCATGGCCTATGTTTCTGAGCAGAGGGGAAGATGCAGACTTTCTGCTGCAGTAGCTATTATATACAATTATCTGGCCCCTTTTTCAATTACCACAATTTTCACAACATTAATGAGGAGTCAGGAGTGTCTTCATCTTTGTCTAAATACTTTAGGGAAACCATTTACAGCTTCTAATTTTGTCGTGCGCTGTGCACCGCCTTTATTTGGCTATGTATGTCAGACGTAAGAGTAGCCGTGATCTCGCCAAGGTTTGGAAGGAGGAAACGCCAGCTCAAGCCTTCTTAAACTGGAGTAGATTGTTTTTGGGTCAGCACGCACAGGTACGCTGCAACACGAAGAACACAGCGAATAACTGAAAGGACTGAGAGCAATACTGCTACTGCCAAGCACAGTTTCAGTCTGTGTGTTTACACCGTAACTAACAAACCTGCCTTGGACCTGGCACAACGGAGAGACTTCTGTTGTTTTCCCAAATCTGCAGGTTTACAGTTAGAGCATGATTAGCCCAGTTTTAGAAAGGGTAGTTTCCACAAGATAGCGTTGAGATGGAATGTAAAATGCAAATATCTGCAGCCAAATGGAATTTGTTGCTTTTAAGAATGTTAAAGACTAAATTTTCTTTCTTTCTTCAGCTTGCACATATAAAAGCCAGGAGTGCCGTTTGACCATCCATTACGAACATGGATTCTCTCTTACAACCGAACCGCAAGATGGTGCCTTCTCTAAGACAATTGCACAATATCCCTACGAAAAACTGAAAATGTCCTCAGATGATGGGATAAGGATGCTTTATTTAGACTTTGGAGGAAAGGATGGAGAAATTGTAAGTCCTGTGTTTGGTGGAGGGACGCACGTTACCATCTTTTTGGTGCTCTTCCAGGCTGTGGGGGTGGAAAAGCCCTAATAACAGCTGGCCACACAGGTTCCAGTGCCACTACTTAGACGCCATGCTTTCTAGGACAGTGTGACAATCTGGCTTTAGAACAAGATAAACTAAAAAGAGAGATAAAACAGTAAAACCCCATAAAGAGGGATGAAAGATTTCTTACAATTAAGAACAAATGGTACTCTACATAGCCAGATTTTAGAATTTTTATATGTATCCATTTCACTTTTTAAATGATTGTGGGTGGAAGAACTTAAGAATGAGATATTATTAATTCCAACATACACATAGGGACTTGAAGTTATGACAACAAGCTGTGCCTCAGACATTTTTGAACATCTAGTTGCTGAAAAAAAAAATTGAAGACTTACAGATGTAGCACAAACTGTCTGCTTAGGCCTCTAAGTTACCTGTCACAATGCCTAAAAATAAGGTGCGTATTCCTACGAGCAGTTTAGATACCATAAGTTATGCATGTAAACATGCTCTTTCCTGCCAATTTTTTTCAGCAGTTCCTGAGCACATGGAGTGCTTAATTCTTCACATCACCTTTGACAACATATACTCTGCAAACTGCTTATTGTCGGGCTTTCAGAAGGGAATTTGTTACTAGCTCTTAATACAGTTGATGCATGATTGGTGGAAGGGCAAATCTGGTTTGTTTCGATGTGAACCTGGTGTTGATTCTGCTGTCCGCACTGACAAGTCTGTTGGGTATTGGACACAGCAGTCCCACCACCATCCATGGTCAGAAACAGAGCCTGAAAAGACGGAGGGGTTGAACCTCTTGGAAACTTGCAGCATCTGACTCAGTTTTCTGCTGCTTACCCAGGTGGACGCAAGCCCAGAGGCACCGGGATCTCATCTGCTCTCAAGATGCTTATTACTTTTAGTAATGTAAATATTTGCAGCTGTCTGCAAAGAAAACACAATATGTTGTAATAAAGGGTTGTTATTAATAGAAGTCTGTTGAAAGTACCATGCAGCAGTTAATCAAGTACTCCGTAAAGGATTGCTTATTTGAGCTGTAATCTAATCTAATGATTCTCAACTTGATTTCTTTCTGTACTTTCAGCAGCTGGACCTTCATTCCTGTCCAAAACCAATTGTGTTCATCATTCATTCCTTCCTGTCGGCAAAGATTACAAGGCTTGGCTTGGTGGCCTAAGTGGGATACATCTGTTTCTTCGAAGAAAGACAGAACGACCACGCTAATCTGAAGTACAGTGGACAGCAGCAAACCCGCACCAGCCAGCAGCGTACACCAGCTCGGGATTCAGTACCAGGCCTTGGTCATTTCTGCAGTCTTCCAAGGCCCAGGTTTCATTTCGATCAGCTAAAGAAGTGGCATGACAAGGAAAACGGTGGATTTCATTGTAAATAATGGGATTTTAAAATCCTGTATCGGGCAGTAAAAGTGTGTTAGTACGATACATGTAAATGTTTCAAAATCATAAATTGTGCCTAATTCAATGTACTTGTTTCTACAGAATAAGTAAAGGGCTAAGCAGACAAGAGTGGGTATTGGTTGTGATGCAAGCTCGAGGTTGTTTGAGTAGAAGTTCTCCAAACAAGATTGTCCCACCATCCAAAAGTAAAATATTTTTTCCATGCTAACCTGTGCACCACTTACAGGAGATTTTTCTTTCAGGGCACTATCAGAACCCGTTGCTTGAATACTCAGCAGAGCAAATATGCACCTTTGAGTAGGATGCTCTAAAGCAATACAGCTGTGGCCAGTGAACAGCTGGAGGGTCCCTGCCAAGGGGCCCTTTCAAATTAAATGATAAAGACCTCTTGCGTACATTCCCAGCGATGGACCCAAAACCAGACCAGCCACAGCGATGTATTGAGAGTCAGCTGTCAGTGGGGCATAGGTAGGGGCATCCTCAAGTTACCTGGGTCCACGTTGAAGCACGCCCTAAGCTTCTGCCAGCACGTTTCCACAGCAGTTTTCCTACAGAAAGCCGTGCTGCGCTTCCTGTCCTACCCCAAGTGTGTCACCCCCTTAGCGCTGCCGAGGCTGGTTGTGTGGTCTTGATAGAAAAGCAGATGTGAGGAAGGAGGAAGACTTGATTTTTTTTAAAATTTTTTTCTTGAGTTTTCTAGATTAGATCAGAAAAGTTATTCAAGCAGCTCCAAAACAGCGAGGAAATGCACTGGGGCAAGAACGTGAGCTGCACCGCCAGATAAGCCTTAATGTGGAAGGAACCGCTCCTAATGAGCATGACTTGGCAAGTCCAGGTTTACTCCTTGCTGGTGAAACATAAGAGGTTCACCTCTGTACCCATAACTTAGTAGTTCCTGTTTTGCACCACAGCTTACTGTTTAAAGTCAAAACACTCGGAGTTTCACCTTGTTCGTGGTTACATGGGGCAGAAAACGGGCAGCAGGCGGGAACGCCGACCTTCGTTGTCAGAGATGGTACACACAGCTGGCACCTGGAACTACTAAATTGGCTGAATGTGGTGAGTGGGAACAGAAAGAAGTAGAGCAGGGATGGCATTTATGTTGCTGTTTGTAAACAAAACTGCTTCATATAGGGGTGGGGGTTTGTTTGCTTTTAGAGTTTTGCCCTGAATTCACACTTTGGAGGACAGGAACTGTACAGGAAGAAATAAATCCAAAGTTTGTAAAACTTTACTTGTCATACTACAACACTTCTTTTATTCTTGACAAAGCACACAAGTTTCAACTTAATGTGACTTAGCTGGCAAGGAGGAAAATTAAGAACACCACTGAGTTCCATGTTGGTTTTAAGCTAAGTCTTGAGCGTTAAGCGTAAGTCATGCTGTTTATTCACAGAATTAGTTTGTGGTGGTTACCATAGATATCTTAATCATTGAAACTAATTAAAAAATTAAGGTGACGGGCTGAATTCGCAAATACTGAAAATGATCATTGAAGAACAATAGCTAAATTGCCATTTGGAAGAGCAGCCCTGCTCCCAGCACCTCCTGCAGTCAAAAACAGGCCTGGGAGGGGTACTTAGCTGCAAACTTCGTTTTTACTGTCACAGTACTTGCACTTAAAAATTAATTCCTCGTGTAAATTCACAAGGTAGGAGGGAGCGGGTTACATAACTTACCCATAATTTCCAAACAGAGATTTCTCATTTAGCCACCTCACATAACCTCCTGTGGCAGTTGCTTGGGTCCCCTTTGGCTTGGAAGCTTCTAGAACATCTTTGGAGAAGCCGAGAGCAGTCGGTACGCTGGGCAACTCTGAGTATGAACTCACATCGCGTCCTCATGTAAAACTTTGTGTGAAGTTCCCAAAAAGTGATTCAGGACACTTTTATTGCTGTTCTAATGTATAACCGAAAAATCTGGACACAGGCTCCTGTAAAACTTCCAGAGGTTCAAGTGAAAACTTGCGTACTGTGGGGTAGGTTAAATACGTATGTAAACTATACTGCACTATTTCCTTATTCCTTTAACACTTACAAATCACTGGAATGTTATACTTAACATGTACCTGCATTGTAAATATTACAAATTCCTATATTAGTACCAACAATTAAATGACACAATATGTTATCTAAGGTGCTCAGTACTATATGAAGTATAAGTGAATAACTAAACAGTTTGCAAAGAAAATTCATATTATATATATATTTATAGAAAAA